CAGCACTATGAGAAGTGATAGTCTGCAGACAGCCATGTTGACTCTGCCTAGCAGCCAACAGGGAAGGTTCTGCATACCTACAAATTGAGAGTTAGACATCTAAACTATCATTTATTTAAAATGCATTTAAAATAACCCGACTTGGCTTGCTCCCGTTATTATTTAACTGAACTTGGCTCTAGGCCGGGAAACTCTGGGATCATTCGGAAATGGAAATCCATACAGTGCACGGAAGTTATAACCTTAACTTTACTAGAAACCATTTATTCACATGAAAAAGACAGTGGCCCATGCTTTCGGATGACAATAAAAACATATATATATATTTTATATATAGCGAACGTACATTTACCATCTCTTAAATAAATCGCATTCACTTAAAGGGAGGAAAGTGTTATCCTAGCTCAAACACAACAACAGAGCCCCCCCCAGAACTCACTGAATTGTAAGCAAAAACTACCAGACACACTGCAGGTCCATTGCTGGTACTGTGGGAAAGGAAAAAAAAAAGAAGCACCTTTGGCGAGAAACACTTGAGAGTGGACAGTTGGATTTACCCTAGTTTCCCCTTATCAGGAATCTGCTCCGCCAAGCCCCGAAACCTCCAGTGGCAATTCAGTGTGTGGAGTTGCACATGAAAATGAAACTTTGAGTTCCGCAGGGTGGATGTGTCATGTAAACCAATTTACTTTTACGTTCAGATGGCAGGTCAAGGAGACTGAGATATTATTGTTTTTCTTCTTTCTTCCTTTTTTATCACTCTTTAAAAAAAAAAATCCTTTCATTTTCTTCTCTCTCTCTCTTTTTTTTTTTTTTTTTTTTTTTCTTTCAAAACAAGGGATTCCCAGTGAAATATTGGAGTCGATCTCTGTTCAGTTTCTTTTCTTTCATCCTTCGATTCTGGAACCAGATTTTAACTTGCCGGTCAGTGAGGTTGAGCATTCTGGACAACTGCAGTCTTTTCTCTTTGTTTATGTACACGTTGAAGAAAAACTCCCGCTCCAGTTCTCTTATCTGATATTTGGTATAGGGACACCTCTTTTTCCTTGATCGCTGGGGGACTGCTGAAATTCGAGAGAGAAGAAACTGGTTTATGCTGATGCTACGAAAATGCTCAGCTAGAAAGAGATCACAGACTTTGACAATATCCCATTGCCTGGAAAGCAGCCCTGTAGCAGCTGAAAAAAGTATTCCTGGGGCTTTTACTCTCTGTGTGACTTAGCAAAAAAACTAATATTTCCCAACTTCTCCTTAAAAGAGAGCACTTCGAGCAACACAGAGAGATATTTAAATGGGCTGGAAAAATTCCAAGTTTCTCAAACTCCTCTCACACACCCCCCGCCCCAAACAAATGAAGATCTTAAGCTCTAAACCGAAGGCAGCTCTGAGGAGCACTACCTGTGAAATCTCCCCGTCTTCCCCCCGCCAAATCAACAATTTAGTAACAATTAATATCCTCTTCCAAGAATACCTTAAGCCCAGCTAAATTGGTTTCCTATCGTAAACACGCTTTACAACGGTAAAGGAAATCTTATAGGATATATAAAATCCTTTGGATGCTTATAAAATTGCACATAAAATGCGGCTTGACAAAGTGTTGGCCTTGTACTCTTGCCCCCAATTTACTACTGATACCTACCTGAACTGTTGCTCTTCTCTGCAACAGCCTCACCAGAAGGGGAATCGGCGCTGTTTGCTGGTGTCACTTTCTTCTCTTGGCTGGAAGGTGTTTTACTGCAAGTGCTGTTCTGGGCTTTCAAGTCGCCCTTGTCCGCGTCCCCCTCGCCCTCGGAGTGCTGCTGGTACGGGGGTCCGGGAGCTGTCTCGTAAAACTGGTCGAAGCCCTGCGGCAGGATGCCGTTCCTCCCCACCGAGCTGTAGAAGTTGGAGGCGGCGGGAGACGGTCCGTGGTGGCCGCAGACAGGGTCCGTTTTGAACAACATTTCCGTCCTCCTGTTCGCGGGCTGCAGAAAGTCTCTGTGCATCACCTCTTCAGCCGAGTAATAAGGAGCATAACTGCCCCTGTACTGCCATTTGCTGCGCTCTAATCCGTATTCCCTGAATGCTACTTCGCGCACAGGTTGAACATGAGGTAAATTAGAAGAATAAGGAAAAGTCATTTGACAGGACGACGACTGCGACAAAAAAGAGGGTTTCGTCGAGAAATCTGAGGGTGAGACGTAATAAGCGCACCCTGGCAGATACATATTGGATGTGCCGTGACTGCAATCGTCAAACTCAGTCATGTCTTCCTTTTTGCGATTGCAAGCAACCAGGAGGCTTCAATGCATTGAACAAGATCCATCTATTGCACAAGAGGGTTTGGACAGGATCAACTAAGAAAAAATCCCCACCGTGTGCTGACGTGCAATTCATCTTGATTGATTCTAGTGGTAATTATGTCACGTGACGCGATGTAGAAATGTCCTTATATCTATATCAGCCCCTCGGAAAGGCTCCTAAGATCTCTCCAAAGAGCCCTCCCAGCACGGAGAGACGAGCGCAGCGTTTGTACAGCGTTTGTACAAATATAGCAGGCTTTTTTTTTTTTCGCCCCCTCATCCTTTCACCAGGCGAG